AGCCTCTCGGCTTCACTCTTTATCTCAGTGATTGATCGGGGGCAGAACTTCAATATTTAAATAGATTCAGTTTCATTCGTTTGGACGTGAAAAAAGCGGCAGATAATTACACAGTCTCTTTAAAAAATTCATGTACCGGGATAAAATTACACTCGCAGAGTCAGCTAATAGGCTATATTTAATTAATAGAGAAATGAGGGGGTTTCTCCTAAAACACCAACAATTCCTAGTGACGTGACGCAGAATCAGCCCTTAAGGCTGTTGGCCTTATTCACTCGGGAGACGACGAATCTCCAACCAGTTTACTTCGCTCTGGGCAACGTACGTAAATCCGTCAAGTGTACATTTATTCCAGCAATTCCATGAACGCCTGACAACAGATATGATTTAGTATTTGTTTAAAAAAATACACTTGTTTCAAATCTTCGGAAAATTCTGACACCTCTTTTGCAAACATCTATACTGCACTGAAACGAGTTAATTGAAACACGCCGGACAATTAAAGCTGCGGAAACCAATTAGCGGCATCTCGCGCTCTCGGCTTATTAACTGATGTTCTTCGCTGTCTTGGATGTAAGCGCTCAGCGCAAGGCGTCAGCCGGTTGCCATGGCGATTGTGCATCCACTTCAGGGATGACTGACGTGTCCAACCAGATGCCGATGACTCCAATAGTGTAGTTTTGACTCCAATAGTTTGCGCTCTGTAATTTACAAAGAAGCTGGACGCCAAACCGAGAGACTCATGTTGTTTTGCCGGACACTGGAGTAAAAGTGTTTGATTATCAATTACTCACCCGGGGGGTTTACGAATATAAGTTAATTGTTTCAGACTCCTGTGCCAGACAAAGAAAATAAGACTCTTCCTCGTCCAACAGAGAGTCTCGGAACCGTGTAATGACATTTTGACAAGAGCGTCCCCTCCGTCACTAGCTTGGGACCGCGGTGCCGGCGGGACCAGCCTGCGCTGTGTCTGTATGAGCGAATGAAAGGTTAAAAGCAATATGATAAAACGCGCAAAATCATTTTTAGTGACCGTAGACGTAGCGAATACTTGCTTGTTCCGTGAAAAAGAAAACAACTCAGCTCAGCGAGCAGCAGAGGTGAGCGCAGGTGCTAAGAAAGCCTATTTCATGGACAGAGTGAGGGGTCGCCGTTAGTGGCCTTTCATTTTCTAGCCACCCAGTTAATTAAGCCCGACCCTTTTCTGTACAGCCCCAGAAGCGGACAACAAGCAAGGGTTTCTGGAGAACCTGCTCACCTCGGGGTTTTGTCGCACCCAAGACGGCAGCTCGTTAATTAAGTTAGTCTGTATCTGCATCTGAGATCAGCCCAGGCCATAACACTGTGACTTAATTGCGCATATTAAACGTGGATCGAAGGCTGTTCCTGTAGAGCGCAGGGCTGAGGGCGTTCTCTGTCCGAGCCAGCTGTCCGAGCTCCGAGCCGGAGGACAACCGGCGCATATCGCGGTTCTCCTAAAATCGTTACCGGGGGACCTTGTGCGCATCGTCATTTTCCATGCGCCAACTCGGGAATCCGGAGAGCCGCAGCCCTGTGACCGTTAGAGAAACCGAAAAGCCCAATTAACGTGGAACTGATCATCAATTTCCCTTCGGGATCAATAAAGTCTTATCTTATCTTCTCTCTTCTGAATATACCGATCTGTCCGGATATTTCTGTTGTACCTGCCCGCGCAGGTGACTCGTACCGAACAGTCACCGAATGCGATTCGGGGATGGACGAAGACTTTCACAGTGGGGCTGCCCAGGAACTTTCTTTTCGGAACAGGAGGAGAAGCGAGCTACAGTAAACCCGAACCCATTTACAACCCGTGACTTCCGAGCCCCGGTGGTACAGAAGGAACACGAAAAAAGTCAGAATTCTCCTGCCCACTCACAACCAAAAACAAACAAGCAAGCAAAAAGCTGTTTCCTGTAATGCATGTGGTCAACAAGACAATTCAGAAGCCTACCGGCCCATATGCAATTATTTTTGTGACAAAAACAACAGAGTAAAACACGACTGCTAACTAGGTACCAATCCCATTCAGTAGCCAACAAAAGCAGTACAGAGCAAGCTGGTTTCCCCAAATCTTTCCACTAGATGGCGCCTTTGTCCAAGGTAATGTTTCCAAGAACTGCTTTCAACCACAACCAACAACAACAACAAAAATATTCCAGATGGTATTTGGATTTCACATTCCTTTGATCTTCAGGTAAGTAATGGGTCAGGTATCATTCGGTCTGTTCCAGTTCAGCTGGGCACATTCCAGTTTCCCACAGTGGACCTACACCGCGCCAAACGATCACACAAGAGCGAAGTTAAAACACCGGAGAGGAGTCGCATTCCAACCGCGAACACAACGAGACAAGGCAACCCATGGAGTTTGATATGAAGGATTTTCATGTCGGTGTTCTTCACGTTGTTCAAAATCTCAGACATTCAACGCAGTCGGACATTTAGTTTTAGTTGTAGTTGTAGTGTAAGATTGGGAGCTGTGCCCGAGTAATGTCTGGGAAAAGCCTGAAGTAAAAGATCAAGTCAGCTATAAAGTAGAATAAAAGGAAGGCTATACGCGTGCACCATCATTATCGTCATAAAAAGAATAATAATCTGCTAAACTGTTACACATTCAATGCATTTCCCCATACTTAAGTATTTACATGTTACATCTGGTTCATCTCGGTATTCCACACAACCAGATGTCCTGGTGAACACCTTTCACACCACGTACAGTACAGTCGTAGGAAAAGGCTAACCTTGAGCAGTTTCACTTAGAAAGCAGCAGTAACACCCCGGAGCAAAAGTTTTGTCCCTACTTCAGAGCCCAGAGCAGTTCATCTTTCAAGCCATTTCCAATAGGTTTCAGATGCTCTGCGCATCGAGGAGGGGGGGCAGTTTTTAATCCGTAAAATCATCCTCACTCTGTCAGGTAACCGGCGACGATTCATAGCCCGAGACCCTGCACAGCTGACTGAACTAGCAGAACGTCTCAAGTTTCTTATGAAATCTTTATGAGAAGATCAGACTTTTTATTTGCTTAACAAGCCTCCTTGTTTTTTTTTTTTGATCGAGCCTTTTAGACAAGCATTTCTTGGCGCTGCGACAATCACCAAATAATTTACTGTCGATCAGCGATCGCTTTTATTAATGAGACGTTTATTAATTGCTATTTTTAACACCGGCCACCTTTCTACTTTCTACTTTCTACAACACCCTGCGGCCTCTCAGCGAGTGAACATTGTTAAACCTTTTCAGCCTGAAGTTTCTCATCCATATACATCATCAATAAAAGCTGGCAGGGATATTTCACTTCAAATTACTGTCGAAAAACAAGCCCTAGCCGTTCAGGGGTTTAAATCGAAAGCCCTTCGCTGCAGATGCAGAATGACAAGGAAGTTATTTCAGTGCATACGGATTCTTCATATTTTTTTTTTTAAAACGAACTTTTGAGAAGTGGAGAGGACACACAATATTTTTACATAGCACGGTAGGAGGGCACCTTCTAAACCACAATAAAATAACCCACAAAATTGAATCAGCAAGCAATTCCGAAAGTATTTTCACAAGACACGCCGAGCAAGACTACGCGTCGTTTGTGTTTGGCTTTTCTATCAAAATTCAGGTTGTTGTTTTTTTGGAGGGGGGGTGGCGGGGGGGAGGGAATTGGTGCCTTCGATGACCCCCTCCAGGTAAGACCATTAGGAATTCAATCAAGATAATAACACCGTTTTTTATTAATGAACACCCCCGATAGAATTACAGCGGCCAGTCCAGGCGCACTGTGCGCTGGATGTATTTGTAGATCGACCCACTTGATTAGTTTTGCAGACTTGGGTTGTTTTGGTTTTTTTTTCTGCCCTTTTAAGTTACGAAAGAAGCGGAGAGGAATGAAAACAAAACCTACCTTTCAGTGTCTAGCAGGAAAGAAGAAAAAAAACATCAACAGGAAAGTTTCATTTGGGATGTTCTGATGAAACTCCCCTCAGTTTCTTTCTGGAGTTCGCTTTTATATTTTCCTTCTCTTCCCGAGAGCTCGAAGTTGTCTTTTCAGCTACGGAGCAAATAGATTAAATTATTGATGGTGGAAATTGCGTGGCGGAGGTACTGGTATCTCCTGACTAAGTGGCTCCATTTGAGATTGGTTTAGAGAGGAAGAGTGCATGCTAGCACACAAAGATATTGCGCGATGAGCGACTTCAGTAGCTTTGAATGAGGGTTCAATCCTCGCAACTACAGTAACTAACTACAGCATGACGTTGCAACATGTGACCGCGAGCTGACTTACAGACAGTCATAGACGGGATGAGTGCACGGGAGTGAGAATTGTGAGCTCACCCCCCGGCTGCTTACTGTGTCGCAGAAATCGCCACGCCACGCAGCTGCCCACTCAGAAAGACAGGGGCATCAGTTCCGGCCAGACGTTTTTTAATTGTGCCCTCTTACAAGCTAAAAGTGAACGTTGGTACCGCCTTTTTAATATCTGCTGCGAGAGTCGCGCAACAACGACAGTACACGGTGTAAGGATCAATAATGCGAGAAAGTGCCTGAAGATGAAAGGATGAATGCCATATATATATACATTTCTGTAGCCACTTTATGCATTGTCTAAAGTATCGAAGTGGCCACTGTATTGTTTTCGTCTTTTCAGCGTTTCCGATCAACTTCTTTAAATATCACAAACTCCCCGGCAATATTGCACATCATTACGTTGCCTTGTCGCGACTAAAATTCAAGTTGAATCTTTTGTGTTGTAGCAATATCTCAGCAGGAACACTAAAGCTAAAATGTCACGTCCGTACAATAATAAATGGAAAGCGACCTAAGGTCTATTGTAATAGAAAACAATTGTCT